TTAACATAGAAGTGAACATGAAAATGTTTTAGAAATAGGAAGAACTCACTTGAAGTCTTATTTTCCTTCTATAGCCTTGTCGTAGGGGGATACTTCATTAGTTCTTTGCAAATTCCATTCTCCATTGAAATTTGACCCAATGAGAGAGGTTAAGGTAGACTCAGTTTGTCCCCATTTTGGCTGGGAGGATTGCTCCTATTGTTTTTGGATTGTCATTGTATTGTCAATAAATGTCTTTGTCAGAGTAGAAATACAAAGTAAATTCCAATTCCAAGTACACTTCTGCAGCTTCATATTACAAAAGCTGGATGAGGAGAACTCTCTCAGATGTCTATTTATTTAGTTACCTATAAGGTTTTTTTGCAAAAGCACTAGCCGATGACAGGAATGTTATTTTATGGAGAGGTTGTTTGACAACCCGATAGTGGGAGCTGATAGTGAGGATTTAGGTATACCAGAATAGTGCTTAGGTTACCAGTTGCCAAAATAATTGGAAGTCTTTGCTGCAGAGATAATGAACAGGTCAAGAATCAAATTAAATCCTAAGTCAGAAGCTGGAAATGTTGCACACAAAAACTTGTAATGCCAGTGCATTGGTCTGTAGCTGCCATAAAGCCCAGGCTGCCTGAGGAAGCTGTGACATCTGTATCATTATAGTATTCAAAACCAATTCAGGGAAACACAAGAACACAGGAGGGCATCCAGAAAAAAGAATGTGTTTTTACTCAGAATATGGTTGCTGTGATTTTCTCTCTTTTCTATACAAATAGAATGAGGTCAGAACTGGTCCTTTTCCTTGACTTATTGTTGAATGCAACAAAATCACTTCATTGCAGAATCATCTTGGACTGTTAAGTTTTATCTCTCGAGTGTCTGGGCACCTTCCAAGAAATTACCAAAGTCTCTGAAAATCAGTGGTTTTCCTGAGTTCTGAAGCAATATAACCCATGTGTTTATTTCTTACTCTTCCATATCCAAGTCCTTATTGCTTCTCAATTTCATCCCTTCACACCTCTCTGTCTTTGTTTGCAAATAAAGAGAGAACAAAGCATTTTTTTTATTATTATTCTTCCTTTTTCTGCAAAGGCATATGCTTTGTTGTGTAGTTGATGGTAAGACTCGAGCTGGTTGCACTTAACATTTTGCATTTCAATCTAGGTGCTGAAAATTTTGTTATTTTAAACTCCAGTAACAAATTCCAAGCATTAGACTTGCTATATCTTCTCTAACGAGCACTATTTTGATGTTAAAGTAATGGAGTTTGAGTTGTGGAAAATAATATAGACTTGAGAGAAACTTTAACCTTGATTGTTAAGGGCAAACTGACTCCAGTGATGATATGCTACATTCAGAAATCATTGACTTACAAAGTACAATTCCAGAGTGCAAAACCATTACAAAAGTTATACTTTTTGTCAATACTCAGTTTTCACCCCAAAATATTACATTTTATGTCAGAAAAGTATTTATATTCAAGAATTTGAACTTACTGTGGGTTTTTTTGTATGGCAGTTATTATGTCCATATGTCTATAAGTATGAAAACCTCTGCTTTTAAAATCAGTTAAATGAATTGTATGAATGAGTACTTTGGCTGAAAAGATGGCTGCACGCAGCTGCCATTAGCTGTATGTAGATATCTGTGTGTCTGTTTACTTTTTGTTATGAGGAATGGCATGGAGAACACAAGACCATGTAAAAAAAAAAAGAAAAGACTTTTTGTCTGTGGATAAATAAGCTGTTATATTAACTAGGAAAAATATTTAATGGTTGCTGAAGCTGATGGAAAAGTTATTTTTCATCCCAACTTCATTTTGTGAAAAGGTGTAAATTTTTAAAAATCACAGTTTAGAAAAAAGGCACTGCATTTGGATCCATTTCATTCCTACACCACAGTGCAGCTCGACCTATGTCTGTTTTGGTTTTGCCTGCACTCTCTGAATGCTCCAGTGATATAGATTTCTCAGTTGCCTCTGTTTTCCTATTGCAGTAGTTCAGTATTTTTGTTGTTAGGAAGTTTGGGGTTGTTTTTTTCCCTGATGCCTAATGCAATGCTTCACCAAAATAGTCCTGACAAAATACATTGACTGTCTCTGTTTGTCCTAATCATTGGGAAGGGGAGCTGATTAATTCCTTTCTTTTTCTGCAGTGGCTTTTTAAGCAGTTGTGTCTGCCCACAGCTCATTTGATGAGGTGGGCAACCCATCTTTGAAAGCATTTACCTCTCGCTGTGTTCTCACATGAGAGGATACTTTAGAAAACAGATGTATGGTCCTTCCTACAGAGTATTCAAGTGAGCTTAGTTCTGTACTGCTGTTATCAGTGAATCAATATCCTTGAGCATCAAGATGATGTCAGGTTTCTAAGGCAATAGCCTTGACATATAACGTGCTCTACCTGATTTTACATGGATGCTGAGCCCTCAAAAAGCAGATTTTGTAACAGGTTTTTAATACTGTAGCTTAATTCAGTGGCAGTTTCCTTTGTGAAGCAGTATTTTGGTGTCTGAAGAATTGCCGAAAAAAAATCCCCTTGGTTCAGCTGTTGTTTAAGGACTTGGGCCTTAATTTTATTTTTTTCTGTTTCCCTTAAATCAGGACAAAAAAATCTTTAGGGCCTTGTTACTTTTAGAAGGATTTGGCAGTCTAATTAATATGATTATAAAACCAAAACTCTCTACATTTACCTGGAACTGAGAAAGATGCAAAACTATAAGGCTGAAAAATTTTTAACAAGATATTATTTACACTGGAAAATTAGCAGTACATTCATATGCTAGGCTAGCACTTCTTTCCTCCTCTTTTGGCACCAGAAATCTGTCCAGTTTGGAAATAGTTGAAGTAGTTCATCCAGATGAATGAAAATTTACCTCAGATGGATGATAGATTCAGATCCAGCAAGTCTTTGTGGTTAAGACTCTTCCTGGAAACCAACTCCAAATTTATGCTTTAAATTGAATGACAAAGGGTCCATCTCTGACTCAGAGGAGATGGGAAGTCTGCTGTACCAATTGTTATTCCAGAATGTTAAAAAGTCTTCCTTTTTAGATTGCCATAGGTGCCAAATAAATTTTAAGTTTAAAATAACCCCAAAAGTCCAAGTAGTTTGCAGCTGTTGGGGGAATGGGTAGTTCGATGAGGGGGTTTTATGTGGTTTCAGAGATAAATTGGATGCTTTTTCTCAACAGTACACTTTGGCTTTAATCAGAGGCTGGCACGAGTGATTGTCTGCTGTTTATTCAAAAGCATTAGAAGTGCCCTGTGGCAAGTGCACTCATACTGAGGTATACTCAGACCGATATTTGGGTGGTGGTAACTGTTCCAGAAACTTGGGGTAGCTCAAGCTGTGTGCCCAAAGTGGGAAAATGTACCTCTGATTTCCTTTTTATGTAACAGTGATACAAAGACCTGTCTCTCAAAATCTTAGTGTTCTCCCTAAAACATTGTGGAAGCACCTCCTTTGACCCCAGACTAGCAATTCCCACTTTAATCTTTTTCAATTGATGCAGCATGGGAAAATATTCAGAAGGAATTAAAAATATAATTTTTTTCTTAATGAAATCAGTTAATTTCAATGAGAGGAATACAGGTATATTTTTGAATGAATTATTCAGAGCCTTGAAATTCTGAGTGACTGATATCTGCTGTTAGCAACACATTTACATACCTGTACCCCAGAAAAACTAGTTAATAATCTGTTGTTTGGTATCTCCCTGATGGTGAGGCTGAGAAAATGCAGCTTCCTCCACTGAGCTGGCTTTTGTTGCTGCAGAATTGGTGCTTGGTGCCATGCCAGTTTGCTTTTGTAGGGGAAGGTATTAACACAGTATTGTCAGGCACAGTGGCTATTTTGGGCTTGAGAGGTAATGAGAGGTTAAAAAGTGTGAAGAAGGGTTCCAGCTACCTGGTTTTGATAGCCCATGCATCCTGGAAATTTAATTACATATTAACGGCCGCTTTCCGTGCTATTAATGTTGTGAAATGGCCTGTGAGGGAGATGGTCTCAATTAGCCCTTGCATTAACTTTTTGTCATTAATGTGTGTCAGTATTGATGCTTTTAATTGCATGAGACTTGAGGAGGGCTCGAGTAATCACACAGGGATGCCTGATTTGACTGAAGTCTGGCCTTTGAGGTCACAGCAATACAGAACAATTGGGTTTGGTTTAAAAGAAAGAAAAATCCAGAAATAGGGCAACCAGTGGAAAGAGTTATTCTATTTTTACAACAGTAGGAGTGGTTTAGAGCTAGCTGTTATTTCTAAATATACCCTTCCTTTTTAATGATAGAGAAATTATCTGTGACTTTGTTTTAAAATCTTGGTAAACTTCAAATTGGTTTTTTTTGTCTGTCTTTCTTTTCTGTTGATTCATGTTCTCTTTCTACCAGTGGTTCAGCCTTTTAAAGATTTCCTGCCTTGCTGTTGGGTACCCAATCCATTATGCAACATAGTGACAGTATAGCCTAGTCACCAGGACATCAGGCTCAAGGGTCAATTTTTTTAACATAAGTACAATTTAAGAGAAAATTTTTAGTGCCAAATAATTCTGGTTTTATCTGCTTAAAATCTGCTAATTTTGGAACAGGAAGCATATGACCGAAAAAGATCTGCTTTGAGTATGGGATATCTTAGAATTGGTTCCATGTATTCATTAAAGATGTGATTTTTTTTCAACATTACTGAATAGATTTGTTGAAGTCACGGTGACACAAGGTTTTTTGCTTTTAGGGTGAAGTATTGGTTTGGAATATTTCACCCTTTTAGATTATAAATTTACTCCTAATCTATCTGTTTTCCCCTGAAGATGACACATTATTGAAGTGAGACTATGTGGTTCTCAGTTTCTTAACATGTCCTTTGTTAAATACAGTTTACTATCTTTTCTCTTCTCTAGTCATGCTAGAGACCTCTAGATCAGATTAGTTTACATCATGAGCAAACCTGGTTTATGTGTTTATAATGTCACATATTAGCTCCTTTGCAATCTGAGCTGGAGCTCATCCAGTCCCATTACACTGATGCTTCTTTTCTAAATTTTGCTTCCACATCAGTGTGGGCATATCCATTCCAGTACACAGATGCTTCAATTTTTGTTTGATCAGTCTTGTACAGAAAAAAGGTAAAGGATTTATTGAACTTTTCCTGGTAATTTTCCAAATGAGCGATTACTGATATTTGTTTCAATATAATTTCCAAACTTTTACTAGCTTGTCTTCCAACAATTCTTATCTTTCCTATAGCAATTTTTAAAATATATTTTATTTGTTTCTATTTTTTTGACATCCAAACTATTCTATTCTTTCTGTTTTTCTGAACCAACTTGCTGTTGCTCCACCCAATAATATTTTCCAGCCTAAGACTGCTTTTCACCAAAGACAGTCTAACAAAGAAGCAAAGGAATTTGTTGGTTTCAAATTTGATAAATATATGGATTATCACTCTTAATTCTTTTTCTCCTCTCTTTCTCGCTCTTTCTTTTTTTTCCCACTTGGAAAATTAGTCTTCCAGAACATGAATTTTGATTAATTTTGTGTTTCTACTTACAATACACAGATTTCTATGTGCTTATTTTCATTCAGTCGTGATGAGATGTAAAACTGTCTCAATTTTCCTCCAGAACCACCTCTTTATAATCATCTCTTTAGGGGCATTATATAAATTGTCTCTGTTTTATCCACGCTGTGGTTTAATGAGCAGAGTTGCGACCTCATTCTTAATGTACACACCTGTTATGCTCACTTGATCTTTTCTTGCATGCAGCAAACATTTGTTAACTCTGTATCTGTTTGGCCCTTCAGAATGTATTCTCAGTCCTCTGTTTTTGTCACCTCGTTCCGTGCTCTCGCACTCGATATTTCAGTGTGCCTTAGACCTTTTCAGTAGTGAGCACTGTGTTCTCACTGATTCAGTTTTTATGACCATGGACAACATTACTTGACATAAGTCTCAGTGTACCTAAAGGGCTTACAGTTGAATATTAAACCTTGATCTCTCTAATGTCATGTTACATCTATGAGATCTCATTGCCCCTGTATACGTAGGTAATTCAGCAGTAATTCAGCAGCTGATAAATGCTGATACACCTTTTGGTTTTGTCTGGATGATGTGAAATAATGTTGGATAAAACTGGAAAAAGGTTAAGTAATGGTAATTCTCGAATAAAAGTAGATGTCTGATTTAACAAATAAAAAATCCATTTAATAAATGTTATGTACATCAACAGCAGTTCAGACAAGCTACTTATCAAGGACAGCCACTCTTCCTTGGCATAGGAAGGATATGGGTGTAGAAAAAGGTTCATTTACTGATTTTTGAATCTAGATAGTTAGAGAAACTGATGAAAAATCATAGTAGTCTCTTTGATTTGGTTTTGGTTTTTGGTTTTGTTTTTTGTGGGGTTTTGTTTTATTTTGTTTTTGTTAAGCAGATTTGACTTCCAGCAAACTTCCAAGAAGTTTCTATTATTAAAACAAGTTATCACTTAGTTGAGAAAAGTTTCACAGTACCTAAATGGATGTTTTGTGTAGGTATTCTTCTTGCATACAAAAAATGTTCTTTATAAGCCCTGAGGCTGTGGTTCCCTGATTTCTTCCTTGGCTGATACATTTGAGTAGAATAAAAAGCTACTTTTTTCCCTACTGTTTGTAGGAATTAAGTTAGATTTTTATTATCTTATATGATTTGTTTTTCTGTATTAATATTTATGTCAAAATATTATTCATATTTTATTTATTGCAAATTCACCAGTTTTTTTAAGCTTGAATAAACTTGCATGTTACGAGTGAACTTCCTTGCAGGTGCTCCTAAAATATCTTTTAACAACAATCTAAAAGAATTAATAAGTTATCTAATTCACTTTCTTCTAGTTTTTATTTATATAGTAGTTAATCCTATCTGAAACTAATACATAGGAAAGAAACTTCATTATACACCCTGAGAGCTTTGTTACATGAAGAACATTCTTCTATTAGGGTGTATATTTTTAGTATAACTTCAGTTTTAAGTCCTCAGTAGCTTTGAAATTAGTTGTGTCGAATGAAATGCTTTTATTTATCAATTCCTAATGAAATCAGGTTTTGCATTGAGTACCATATTTTTGTATGTGTCACTGGCCTAAGATCCCACCGTGTCCTACCACACCCTCAATTCTGTGTAATAATTTACCATTCCAGTTTGACTGCAGAAGTCATCGTTGTCTTTCCTTTAATTTCTCAGCTAATTTACTGCTCTCATAGTTAGGCTTTATTAGTACCACCCAGAAATCTATAGAAAACACAGAAAATGAGCTGGTGAATATCAAAGGTAAAAAACATTGGAAACATAGTTCTCTGCTTTGCCACCCTAGTGCTGACAATCTTCAGTTGCAAACCTGAACTGAGCTGTGTTAACTGAAAAATTGTTAAGTTTGTAGGAGGCTAATGTTCGTGGAGTTATTAGCCAAATTCCATACCAAACGAAAAATATTATTAGTGTAAATGATGGGTCTGCTACAGTATATTTGTGTCAAAATTATAATATTACCTTTTATAAGGGAAAACTGTATTTTCCCCTTTTTCTTTCTTGCATGTGAATGTACATGAAGACACATAAATCTAATTCTGTATCAGAAAGGTACTTAGCATGGAAAATTACAACTGACCTGGTTAGAATTTGGCAAAGTGGAAAAACAGCCTTAAAATGGAGAATTTGGAGGAAAGCTTTTTTCTGTCTTTTTTAACATTTTGTCATCCAAAATATAGTATAATAGTCAGTGACTCTATTAAAAATATGAATAATAGCAAAAATTAATAATATTTTATGCAACTAACTCTAAACAAATGCAATGCATCTATTTTTACTGTGAATTGTGAAATCTTGTTGAAAGGTTTCACGCTAGACTGTTACACATATTAGTCAGAAATGGTTTGTAGTATCAGGAATATAATGCTATATAATGACAGAAATGGAGAGAGGTGTTAAGAGAGTGACAGTTGGATTCATTATGACAGTTCTGAGTATGCTGTTTCTCAGCCTTGTCCAATTATGAAATTTGGGTGTCATTTTTAATTTTCACAAATTTGAGCTAGTAGAAACGGTAGTGTTAGTCTTTCCAACTTCATGAAGACCAGACCTGTACATCTGTTAGACAAACTGTGGCTGTTTCTTTCAGTTACCTAATTGAATAGTGAGTGAGATTTAATTGCAACTGTATTCCTGTCCTGCATATTTGGGTGCTAGATGGAAATATTTTCCACTGATGGCTGAGTAAGTTTGCATCTATTTTTTCCATGCAGAAGCTGTAATACATATTTTAATAAGTATGATAAGACTTTAAAGTTTAAAAATAAATAATCTGGGTAATTTCACTAAAGGGAAAAACATGAAGAGTCTTCTCTGATCATGTGGTGATTTTGATATCAGCAGAACTTGAAGTCTGCACACCTATGCTTAAGATATTTTAAAAATGCATCTTTTTTATTAGTATTGATATAGTTGGTGCAGTTAAGGCAGAATGAAGAAACAATTAACTTTTCTCAGGTGTGGCAGCCAGCAGTTCTAATTCTGTCCTATCCTTGTCCTCCATACATTCAGGTGATCATGCAAATAAAGATCAGAAAAATAAACTGGGCCAAAAGTAAATGCTGATAATTTATATAAGTCTAGGTGATTTAGAAGTTTAACCCAAATATTTGAGTCATCTACTATTTCTACAACAACATTGTATTGTCTATCCAGAATTGTTCAAGTAGTGGAAAAATAATCATAATATCAATGTTATGAGGAGCTGTTCTTACATCCAAGGCTTGCAGTGGAGATGTGTGTTTCCCATTTCCTGTTACTATTCTGGTCAGGAAGAAACAATAACTAAAACTGAGTATTCTTGGACTTTCATCCAACACTGGGGACTACTTGAGGAGTCCTTCTGTCTGGCCAGCCAAAAGCTCTTTGAGATCATAGAATGATAGAATCATAGAATGGTTTGAGTTGGAAGGGACCTTAAAATTATCATTTATTTCCACCCCCCTGGCCATGGGTAGGGAACCTTCCACTAGATCAGGTTGCTCAGAGCACTTGTTTCAGTGTCTCACTACCATATGAATAAAGAGTTTTTTCCTAACTAATAATCTAAATCCCTCCTTTTAGTTTAAAACCATTCTCCCTTGTCCTATCACTATCTGTCCATGTAAAAAGTCACTCGCCCTCTTTTTTATAAGCCATTTTTAAGTACTGAAGGCTGCAGTAAGGTCTCCCTGGAGCCTTCTGTTCTCCATGCTGAACAACCCCAGTTCCCTCAGCCTGTCTTCATAGGAGAAGTTCTCCTGCCTCTGATCATCTTCGTGGCCGTCCTCTGGACCCGTTCCAACGGATCCATGTCTTTCTTGTGTTGAGGGCCCCAGATCTGGATGGAGTCCTCCATGTGGGTTCTCATGAGAGTGGAGTAGAAGGGCAGAATCACCTCCGTCTCCCTGCTGCCCACACTGCTTTGGATGCAGCCTGGGATACAGCTGGCTCGCTGGGCTGTGAGCGCACATTGGCGGCCCATGACCAGCCTCTCGTCCACCAGAACCCCAAATCCTTCTCTGCAGGGCTGCACTCAGTGAGTTCTTTTTCCAGCCTATACTCATGTCTAGGATTGCCCTGATTCAGGTGCAGGAACTTGGACTTGAACTTGTTGAACTTTATGAGGTTCTTATGGGTCTGCTTCTCAAGCTTGTCCAGGTCCCACTGGATGGCATCCCATCCTTCCGTTGTATCACCTGCACTGCCCAGCTTTGTGACATCTGCAACTTGTTGAGGGTGCATTCAATCTCACTGTCTATGTCATTGATAAGGATGTTAAAGAGCCTTAGTCCCAAGAGAGAGCCCTGAGGATCACCACTTGTCACCAGCATCCACCTGGACTGCACCTCTCTGGCTGCATCCATCCAGCCACTTCATCCACTGAATAGTCCACTCTTCAAATCAACAGCTCCCCAGTTGGGAGATTAGGGTGTTGCATGGGACTGTGTCCAAGGCCTTACAGAAGGATGGATAGATAACTTGGGTCAGTTTTCCCTCATGGACTGTTGCAGTCACTCCATGATGGAAAGCCAACAGGTTGGTCAGGTGTGATTTGTCCTCAGTGAAGCCAGTGCTGGCTGCTCGGATCACCTCCTTGTCTTGCATGTAGCTTAACATCTCTTCTGTAAGGACCTGTTCCATGACCTGCCCAGGTACAGAGGTGTGAGGCTCGCTGGTCTGTAGTTCATGACTTTAATCTGGATTGAATTCTATTCTTGCCTTGCAAGGAGGTAATTCTTTCAGAATATACCACCTCTTTCCTACATCTGTTCCACAACCTGCGTTTGTCCCATAATTGCAGCTGTGTCCAAAATACAAGGTATGAGTATAGCTTTATTAATGCTGGTAAATAATGCTAGATTTGTAATATTTTTAGTTTTACACATAACTCAGAAATAATAGTTACTAATTTGACCAATCTGTGGCTGAAAATATATTGCTTTTCAAGGTGATAAAATCAGTTCTCAGCAGGCCTTTTACTTAAAGGGGTTGGAGAGCTGATACTCAGGAGAATTGATGTACAGAAAAAGCTACACCCAGCAAACCATTTGAACCAAACTGTTTTTGTTAGCCATAGACAATGGATGTGACCACTAAGAAGCCTTTATTAGCACACTTCTAATATTGCCACCAAAAATATTTGTACTTAGAGCTACTGATCACGTCCCAAGATGTGTAAGACTGGCTTGTAGCAATCTTAATGGATTTTGGCTGTGTTGCTCTCCAGGGACAGGCAGACGGGGTTGTAGCACCTGATGCAGCAACCTACATCAGGCTGGGCTCGTTCCATGCCACAGCACTCAACATGCCTGTGGGAATAAGACACGCAGCAGCTGTGACCAGTTTATTTTATTAAGTAAATTTACTTAATAAAAGAAGTTAATTAAGCATCTTGCATGGGTAATCTCTTTCAGTGTAGGCTTTTGGAGAATTTATTGCTTTTCCTTTTCATTGCTTTTCTTCAACTGATACTTTGTTTCATTGAATTTCAGAATCACTCCACCTGCATTAAAAATTATTTCACAGTTTCTGGTCAGAAAGTGTGTATCAGGAGAGGCTCTGAAGTTAGAAAGTATAAGTCAGAAGAGGTTCTTTGACTCAAGGCTTTCTCAAAAAGCCCAAATAAACTGGGATTGAGGTGTTGGGGTTTTTTTTGTTTGCTTTTTTTTTTGTTTGTTTGGTTTTTTGTTTGTTTGGGTTTGTTTTTTTTTTCATTTCCCAGCATGCAACAAAAGTTTTATTCTGTTTATTTAAAAGAAATTTTTTTTTTGTAAATGAAACTTTATTAATATTTAGTTTACAATATCAGTATTTGAGACTTTGAAGATACTTTTTAAAGAAAAAAAGGAAATATGGGCATATTTTCCAGAGCAATAAATATTGCTTCTAGTTTTGCAATTAGGACATGTATGAATTTAAAATACATGAAACTTCAAAATGCATTGATAAAATGTTTACCAATCTTAGTCTTCATTTACACCATTTTGGCACGTTAATCTCTTGAGCCAACTCTTCCATGGTTTGAAAACATCCAAGAAACTGATTAGACCACAAATGTGTGTTCTGTTCCCAGACTTTGCAGTTATCTTTTCAATTATCTCATATTTATCTCTTTGTTCACCTGGTTTTTTGCCACTTCTCAGATAAATGTGATTTCATTTCTTCTGCAAATGATGTTTGATTAGAAGGAATAATTTGTTTCCTCTGTGAATATTTCTCAATTAACTGATTAACAAATTTGGCTGGGAAGTTTTTGTCCTTTTTTTCTGCTTCAGTATTTTTTCCGTGTTTGAATGAGAGGTTTCAAGAATCCCCATCACATTATTGCTCTTGTGTCTGCTGCTTGTCAAATACCTGCCTGCTAAGTTGATTTTTAATAATGTCAACAAATAATGACAGTTTTGAATTGCTTATTTATCAACTTGATTTTGTTTGATCCTATACATGTTTAGTTCCAAGTCACATTTTTAATAACAGACAGAAATCCTCTCCAGTGGGAAACTTACTTTGTTGGAAACTTTTCTAATGCATTCTGCCTTTTCACTTCATTGTGGGCTTCATTGGCTTAGGCTGCATTACTTGATTTTGAAGCCATTGCTTAATCTGTTTTTTAAAAATTTGCTTGGACTACATTAGCATTTGAGTTAGCTAAATAATTATTTTCACAATGTGTCCAGGTGGGAGACATGGAGCATTAAAGCATTTTTTTCAATACCTATAGTTATTGAAGAGGGGAAGGGAAACAAGTTTAACAGTCTAGGACACCTTTTTCAGACATGTCTGTGATGACAGAGAGTGGAGCAAAAAGGATAATTCTAGACAATTTTTAGTGATATACAAAAATCTGTACTACAGAAAAAAATACCTGCATTTACATCTTTTGTGATGATATAGCATGTATAACATTTTCTTCCAGATGTGACCCTATGTTTAATTGATCTATTTACCACTGTTTAATGATTATACAATATATAGTACCAGTAGCAATTTTGCCCGAGCAGGGATGAAGTAAAATAATTAATACAATGGAATTTTCAGATTTCTCAGCTCTTGAATATTTGGTTTCTCAATTAATGGGATTTTTATTAGGGGAGCTAGAAATAGATATGATAACCTAGGAGAGTATCAGGATTTCTGTTTATCTTTGAATTCATCATGATTCCTTATCTACTAAGAGAAGCTACTGGCAAAAATCAGTAGTTCACTATCAATTAGTTAATCAGAAATAATATTAGTAGATTCAGAATACATGTGTTTTAAAGTCTTATATGTATGTTTTAATAAAAATACATTTAAACTGACTTTTAAGCCTAATACTTTTTAATTGGCATTGCATCAATTTAATATCATAATAAAATTGTTACAGCACAGAAACCTTACATGTAACTTTTTTATTAGTAAATACCAAATCTGAGACATCACTTAAGCTATGAGTCTGATTTTTTTATTTAAAAAACTAGAAAAAATAGTCTCACTGTAAGTATAACTGAGGAGTTTCCTAAAGCATGACAACAAATTTTTCTCTCTGCTCTTACAGCTTGCGTCATTGGTAGGGTTAAAAAGAGAAGTGGTTGTCTAGCAACACTGACATCTTTATTTCTTGTTTTGATAGTGCTAACCTATCAGCATCTGCAGCTAATGGAAACATGTAATTTAGAATTTTTTTTACAGTTCCAAATGTGAAGCAAAATGCAATTTTAGTGGTAGGCAAGAAACTAAATCTGACCTTAGTTTTAAAGAGATTGTGTTGTCATTTTAATATCAATTAGTAATGCACATGTACAGTAATTTTTTAAAAGGTGATAGAAAAATTATATTATTCAGAAATTATTCCTGACTGTAGATTGAAATAAATCAAATTCATAAATCACAGTAGGTGTTATCCTTTGGATTAATTTTTGTATTGTTAAAAAAAGTAAGGTGTTTTCAGCTTTTTTTTTTTCCCCAGGTATTTTTTATCAAGTGACAAGAAGATTTATAGGATAATATTTTCTGCTGAATTAATATTCTTTTCACTTCTTAGCCTCAGTAGGATGAGTTTTCTAGTGGCCAAATTTCTTTAAAGCAGAGGAATAGTAGGCTGAAATAATAAGGAGGAGATGACTGAACTTAGAAATGAATAATTTCAAGATATTCAACATAAACAAAAGACAAATTATTAAATGTGGAAAGGGTTCAGAGAATGATAAAGAAAGGAGAAAGGTGCTGCATCAAAGGAGAACTAGGTGGATGCAGCCAAAATCTAAGAAGAAACAACTACAGGTAGAGAAGCTCTGGAGATAGTAATGTAGTTCTGAATTGGATTCAGATGTGAATTCAGGGGTGGATGGTGTAATTAATTTGGCCCTATGTGACCCAGGAAGGTACAGCTCATTGGTGTTATACTTGCAAAGGGAGGAAACCCATGAAATACAATCAGTAAAACTGTTCCAAAATAGGCTAAATACAGTGGTTTTGTTTGGTAATTGGTAATTTTGTAATTGCACAGTGAAACACTTTAACTCCTAGGATAAAGGTGAGGTTTTTTCAGAGGTAATGGAGTGATAGTGAAGTATTTCTAGATCAATGTATTTCATTTAGAAGTGCAGAATTTTGAAAGCAAACAAAAGATAATAACTAGGAGTCTCGCTTTGACAAAAAGTTCTCCTGGTTCAGTATCCTGCTTATTACAGCAACCTTTGAAGGTAAAAAACATTACTCATATAGAAAAATCTGTCTTTGGTGTATCTTTCTTGCTTCTGAAAAGTAATTTTAAGACATCTCAAATCAGAGGCTGCATGTGAATAATTGCTTTTATGGGTACTAATGGATGTCTTTTTCATTAGTTCCTCTCCTTCCATGTTGGATCAACTTGTATTTTGGGTCTTGGTGCTATCAGAATAAGGAGCTTCAAAATATTCTTGGTTTGTACATTCTTTTTAGGCAGGTGTTTTAGGCAGCTGCCTCATAATACACTGATTTGCCTATGTATCTTGTATGATGAGAAGTAGTAAATATTAATTTCCAACTCACTTTCTGTATATTGTTCATAATTTTATGGCTTTCAGTGGTAGTTCCCACTCATTAATTCCTTGAAAAATGCTCTTCTTGGGAGGCAAGCACGGTGCCATGAAGCCAAGGCATAGCTGTCTGCTCACCCCAGCAGGTTGGGCATGGTGCAGACATCCATTTACATCAGGTCCAGAGAACAGATGGCCAAGGAATATATCAGTGGGGAGCCTTTAAAAATGGAAATGACAATCTGGGACATTATTTATCCCATATATGGTGAGCAAGATAATCAGAAGTACTCTATACATCATTAGAGGACTTTTTACTTGCAATACTTAACATTATGAGAATTCTTGGAGCAGTGTGAGGTTTTTAATAACTCTTATAAGAAAAAGAAATCTTTCCTCTTTCTGAAGATAACATCATCACCCATTGATTTTCTCTGATATTGCATTTAAGTCTCCCAGAAATTTTAGTAAGTCTTGGGCAAATATTATCACCTCTGGATAATATTCAATAAATCTGATTCTTTTAGAATATCCTCTCCAAGATGTGTAAATGCAGGGGATTCTCTTCTGAGCTTGGAAAGTCAGTGTCATGTGTCTTATGCTTTGAGAATGTACATCTGGTTTATCATGGAAAAGTACTAAATGCAAACATTGAGAAGTTGAAATATTGAAGTGTAATAACAGAAATCCTCAAGTTGGGCAGCCTTGGTACATTTAAATACATGTCTGATGAAGGTTTCATGGAATGGTTAACTTTCCTAGTTTTTCCACCAGTTGATTAAAGATTTAACAGAGGAATTAGAGGTATGTAATTGTACTATATTTGCACTGTTTGCTGGGGCCAGTAGCTTATATGCACAACACTAAGTAATGTTATAAATAATCTTCCCATCTACAGGTGGGCCAATGAGACACTCTGATCTGGTGGTTCTCTTTTGGAGACAGGAAAATTTTGACATCCTACTTGCACATGGTTATGGAGAAACTTATCCCATCTGGACATGACTAAAGTGCCCTTACAGAATTTTGCTCTGCAGTTTCAACAGAATGAAATTCGAGCAGGAAACGTCTAACCCTCCACCCCATCCCAGACCATAGAGGTGGTCAAGCTCTGGGAATTTTGAAACAAAGGAGTTGAGGGAGAGTAAAATAACTCAGGACAGGACTGACTATGTAAGATGATGTTTGAGGGATGAGATGGGAGCCAAAATGCTAAGAGTTCAAGGAATGAGGGATTCCTTTGGATCACTGAGTAACAGCCTAGGGCTCAGTATTTAAAACTTAGACTAGCACTCAATCCTGCATGCCAGCATACTGCAGACCATAGGTGTGTGTAATTCATCTTCTCTTTTCATTGTTAATACCCTTTCAGATATTTGCAGACTTCCCACCCTGTCTCCATTTTCAGCTACTCAGGTTAATAAATATTATATAAATTTTCCATCATAAATCATTTCTTCCATGCTCCAATCTGTTCTGCTGGTCTTTTCTTAAAGCACTGCAATTTGTCAGCCTTCCAGCTAACATTATGTCCTGCACTGAATTAATTCTGTAGTGTGCT